ATAGAGTTGCAGAGTCCTGGCTGCTTGAGATAGGGTGAGAAAGGGTCATTGTTTGAATGTAAATTGAGTGCCTGGGTGAATTTGAATAGCTGCTGCCCCACCCTCTGCTGGGAGAGGCCTCTATATAAGGCAGCACCTTCCCAGAGGGTGAGAGCTAAAGGGCTCTTTGCCTGTGGCTCTTAGCCTAGGGAATCTTAGACTAGGGGCTCTGTAAGAAGTCCAGGAAGAACCAGAAAGCCAAGGCCCTAGTCTACTGGTGTTCCCAGTAAGGTAAGTAAACTTCGACAAGGAGACCCACATAAATACAAAGGGTTTTAAAAGGGGGGTTTATATTTAATTATTTTAAAAGCAATTATGAAGCCAGAATGCCAGCAGGGGGTTGGGGGCTATCCAGTGTTTTGCATGGAGTGTCACATGTATGACTATCTGCCCACTGGACAAAAGTCTTGGGTGTGTGCTCAGTGCAAGGAGCTCCTGGTTCTCAGGGAACAAGTTTCTTCCCTTGAGGCCAAGGTGGCTGACCTGGAGAAGCAGAGACAGTCAGTTAGGCGCATGGAGAAGACTCTCGGGGACTTGTTAGATATATCCCACTATGGATCTGGCAGTACCACCACTCTCAGGAAGCATGAGGGTCAAGGGAAAACAGGACACCGTGCTGAGGATAAGGGGAATGTGCCCTCAGAAGGGACCTCTTCTTCAGCTGGTGAACGGATATCCTTTCGCACCAAGGAACCATCCCTGGGCAGGGTGGGAGGGGGGCTCTTGGTAGTTGGTGATTCAATCCTTAGGCAGGTAGAACTTTATCAGTTCCTCATCAAAGGCTCCTAAGTAAGCTCAAAAATCACGGGATAAAAGGGCAAGTCCTTTTGTGGATCAAAAACTGGCTAATTAATAGGAAACAGAGAGTGAGTATAAATGGGAAATTTTCTCAGTGGAGGGTGGTAAGCAGTGGGGTACCGCAGGGATCAGTACTCGGTCCACGGCTTTTTAACTTGTTCATTATTTGGAGTTGGGAGTAAGCAGTGAAGTGGCTAAATTTGTGGATGATACAAAGTTCACGGTGGTGAAAACCAGTGAGGATTGTGAGGCACTCCAAAGGGATCTGTCAAAGTTGGGCGAGTGGGCGTCAACATGGCAAATGGGGTTCAATGTGGCCAAGTGCAAGGTGATGCACATTGGAGCCAAAAATCCTAAATATAAATACACGTTGATGGGGTCTGAACTGGCAGAGACTGATCAAGAGAGAGATCTTGGAGTTGTAGTGGATAACTCACTGAAAATGTTGAGACAGTGTGTGACTGCAATAAAGAAGGCCAATGCTATGCTGGGGATTATTAGGAAGGGTATTGTAAACAGATCAGCCAATATCATAATGCCCCTATATAAATCAATGGTGAGACCTCATTTGGAATACTGTGTGCAGTTCTGGTCACCACACCTTAAAAAGGATATTATAGCTTTGGAAAAAGTGCAGAAAAGGGCAACTCGGATGATAAAAGGGTTGGAACACTTTCCCTATGAGGAAAGGTTAAGGCGCTTAGGGCTCTTTAGCTTGGAGAATCTACGCTGAGGGGTGACATGATTGAGGTTTATAAGATTATGCATGGGATAGAGCAGGTAGAGAAAGAGGTACTTTTCTCCCTTTCTCACAATACAAGAACTCGTGGGCACTCCATGAAATTGCTGAGCAGTCAGGTTAGAACAGATAAAAGGAAGTACTTCTTCACCCAAAGAGTGATTAACATATGGAATTCACTGCCACAAGAGGTGGCGGCGGCTACAAGCATGGACAGCTTCAAGAGGGAATTAGATAAGCATATGGAGCAGAGGTCCATCGGTGGCTATTATTCACAAGGTATAGATAGGGACTCTGGGGCAAGTGATGCTCTGTTTGGTGCTTGGGGGGGAGGCAACAGTGGGAGGGCTTCTAGTGTCCTGGCCCCACTGGTGGACCTCCTGATGGCATCTGGTATTTTTGGCCACTGCGTGACAGTGTTGGACTCGATGGCTATTGGCCTGATCCAATATTGACTTCTCTTATGTTCGTATTATAGTTCCGCAGGGCCTGTAAACCTGAGCTGTTCCGCCAGGCTTCCAGCTAATTGGGAGGTGACCGCTCATTCTGGCCCCTCTTACCCAGACTGTCCTCATACTCGTTCGATGGTGTAGACGACCATGGTTTCCATCAATAGTAACTGGACTATTATATTTCTGCCCGCCTGCCCTTCAACACAAGTAGCACAATGGTTTAGTACTGGCTTGCCATCTGTTTTAAAATTGGGTTCTTAATTGTTTATGGTTTCATGATGTGGTTTTATTGTTTATATTTCTGTTGACAGAAATCAATTAAAGAGAAATAAATAATCCTAGCAGGGCAGGGGACGGGAGGGAGTGGGAGGGAGGCCCAGCCGACGTTGCAGCCACATGTCTACATCATTTCCAACATGACTCGGAAGTGACATCGTCACACAGCGATCTCAGAGCGACTGTCTGGTATTTGGGCAAAACTCTATGGTAAGTTTGGCTTCTGTTGAGGTTTTGTCCAAATACCAAAGTGTAGTCCCAACGTCACCAACATGATGATGTCACGTCCAGGTCATGTTGGAAGTGACGTATTCATGTCACTGCAATGTTGACTGGGCTTTGCTCTTTTTCCGAGTAAGTCCCCCCCCCCGCCAGGCAGCTGATCAGTGGCAAGGCGGTGGGGCCTGGCAGTGGGAGACCCTGGCCTCCACTGGGGAGTCTGGCAACCCTAATTCCACCCATTCCACCCCCTCTCTCTCCTAATCTGAATCAAGCCATCTGGGAACTGAGTCTGCAGCATGGAAATATGGGCAGACAGCTGATCCAAAGTACTTGTGGAAGACCTGGGCAAGGCCTGAGGTCTCTGTAACGTACAGTGTAGGCCCTAAAATGAGTGCCTTTCAGTGCAAAAGAAGCAAAAGGGGGGGGGAATTGCAGGACTAAATAAGCGCTAAGTAAAAAAATCAAATAAGCACCGACAGCACTGAGTCTCCTACAAGACATTTTCCCTACCTTTCCTTCCCATAGAAGCTACCCTTCCCTTGCAGTTGAACACTGGATTGTAAGCACATCAGAGCAGGCCTGTCTTGTATGCTTCTGTGAACCTGTAGTGCCTTATGCACCGGTGGTGCTATTTGCATAAGCACACTGTCGTATTAGTGATAGAAAGCCAACGTCCTTTGGACCATGTTGTATCCTTGCACTGAGTGCCCTAGTTTATGCTCTCCCTCCATAAATACGTCTGTTAAGAGATAGCCAGACACATGATGTCTGGGAAGAAGCCCCCATCCCACCACCTGCTTCTCGGTCCCCTCGACTGCACAGATTAACCAACGGTCTAGACCAGTGTCAGAAAGAGGAGCTTCCAGAAAATGCCTCTTGTGTGTCTCTCTGTGATGTGAAGAGAATGCAATAAGCAGGAGGGGCAGCAGCTTTCGCCAACTATGGCATCTGTCAGAGACACATTGCGCATGACCCCAGTGAGACAGAGGCATGTCACCCAACAACAGGGGTATGCCAATCACAGAAGATCTTCTGTTCTTATATGAAACTTTCAATGGCTCTTATTGCAAGCGCGAAAAGATCGCTGTATCCAAAGAGGAAAACTGCGAAGGCTGAGCGCTCAGCTACAGCCTACGTGTAGTCAAAAGTTCCCCTGTGGTGGCTTCCGGTCTGGCTCCCGCGAAAGGCGGACGCATCCTTGGGTTGCTCCCGAGGGGCGTCTCGCCCGCCCGCGGTGGAGGAGGGAATCCGTGCGAGCGGAGACCCGAACGAGCCCCTCAGGATGTGAGGAGCTCGGATTCTTTCTCCCGCTGTCTACCCTTCCCTTTTTTTTCTTTTAAGCGAAATACCTCCCCTTTTTAGGGGAGCTAATAAAATCTTTACAAAAAAAAAAAAAGTTCCCCTGTGGTCACCATCATCCTGCGACACTCGTTCAGCACAGAAGCGAACACACATACAGCTGGCTATGAAGAACTGGCAAGCCTGCGCCACCGCCACACTTCCGTTGGATGCCTGATCTTTGAGCACCCTCTGGTGTCTCAGTGCAAGAGTACCATTTCAGTCTCTCTGTAAAATTTCAGCTGATGTGACCTGGTTGGTCCAGGCTGGTCAGGTCTCAGAGCTAAGCAGGGTCAACCCTGGTTAGTACTTAGATGGGAGACCACCAAGGAAGTCCGGGGATGCTGATAAGGAGAGGCAGGCAAATAGCAAACCCCATGGGGTCGTCATAAGTCTACTGTGGCTTGATGGCACTTCCCACCACCACGATTTCAATATTTTTAAAAGTGGATATTTCTTCTTAATGGAACAGTGAAGAGAAGAAGAGGATGAGGATGAGGAGGAGATTGGATTTATACCCCGCCCTTCACTTGGAGTCTCAGAGTGGCTTATGAACTCCTTTCCCTTCCCCTCCCCACAACAGACACCCTGTTTTTTTAATTCACCTGACATGAGGCATGAGTCCTTTCCGTTATTGTTTATTGTGCCATCTGTTGTGTTATTGGTTTTATCACTTGTATTGTTTTATGAATCTTGTGTTGTAAGCCGCCCTGAGCCCACTTCGTGGAATAGGGCAGGGTGTAATAATAATAATAATAATAATTGTGTGTGTGTGTGTGTATCCATCCATCCATCCATTACTGGCAAGAAAGACCTCACAACATTATCCATAGACTGCAAGCCTGCACACAGCTAAGCCTTTACTCCTGCACCATTTTCCTTACCCGAAACAGCCCCAGAACATCATTTGCTTCATGGGAGGGCTTAACATGGTAACAAAGTAAATGGGAGCGGTGGCGCAGGCAGCTAATGCCTGCAAGTAACAGCACTAGCGAACAGCCACTATGGCTGTTCGAGACCACCGCGGCCGGGGTGAGCTCCTGGCCCTAGTCCCAGCTCCCGCCCACCCAGCGGCTCGAAAGTGTACTCACGAGTAGACAAATGGGTACCTGCCATAGGTGGCAGGGGGCACCAACCTCCTGACGGGGTGTGCGAGGAGTGCGGCGGCGGCAGAAACGGCGGCGGCGGAGTAATGGCGACAGCAGAGACGAGCTGAGGACATGGTGACGACGGTTGGAGGCGGAGCTGTGATGACGCGACGACGCAAGGACGCAGCACAGTGGAGCCTGAAGGACGTTAGCTGAGCTGCAGTCAGAGCAGCCGCGCGTCAAAAAGAACACCAGCTGAAGCCTGCTGAGGATGTCATCAGGCCGTCGGCCCATCCGAAGCGCCGGAAGTAACATCAGAAGCCGCCCGGAGAGAAAAAAGCAACAGCAACAGAAGGCATGCCGCTGGGTGCTGGTAGGCAGCCCCCTCCCAAAAATGAATTGTGACCCTAGATTAGGTATAATTGGTATATATCCTCTGTAAACTGCTCTGAGACCCTCCGGGTCAAGGGCGGCATAGAAATCGAAACTATAAATAAATAAATAAAATAAATATAAAGATGTAGCCCACAGTAAGCATGCAGCTCTCAATGCAGCATATAGTGCCCCCCCTCCCCCGGTTGTGGTTGGGAAAATAAGGCATATGGGAAGGTTAATGGCACCCGCCTCCCTTCCTGCCATGATCTTGATCCAAATTTGGGCCCCACACGACTGAGAAATAAGTTTCCACGCGTGACTGATTGTGTCAGGGAACTCTGACATGGCACTTCAAATGTCATTAAAATATAGTTTGGCCTGAAGTCGCTGACCTCTAGGCAGTTCCTAAGGGTGCTACAAACTGATTGGGCCCTGTGCAGGAACAGAGGTTCCAAGTGAAGGAGAAGAGCCGGTACTGTGTCGTGGTTAAATGTGAAACCAGGATCTGGGAGACCAAAGTTCTTGTCCCTACTCTGTCAGGAAGCTCACTGGTTGTCCTTGGGCCAATCACACTCACTCTCAGCCTGACCTACCTCACTGGGTAGTGGTGGAAGGGAAACATGTTATTCTGAATACCTTAGAGGAAGGGTTGATACAGAAGGAGCATCTTCCAAGTATCCCTGATCCCTGTTACAGAGATTCCCATATCTAATACCGCGGTTAAGGAACACAGGGGGTTTCTTTGGTTTTTTAAAAAATAATAATTTCCCCTCTATTTCAATAACGTACAGTTAACGTGTCTGAAAGAAACATGAGCCAAGCTGGTTACTTCTCAGTGGACGATCTGGCCCCTTTTCAGCTTAGGCCCACGTCAAGTTTCTATTTCCCCTTCCGGTTTGGGCTTGGAGAGGCCCGGCTGTTAGCCATGCGCATCCGCCACTGGCACTGGAACAGCCTGCGCTCACTTTCTTTGTTGCCCCATATACGGGCCATGGTCATAGCATTAATTCCAGCACGGTCCTCATCGGAGACTTGGGCCCCATAGTTGAGAAGAACTTCTATGCAGGCAAGCTGGCCCGCTGCAGCGGCGGCATGGAGGGCTGTTCTGCCCAGCGGCGTTCGGTATCTTGGATCAGCACCTGGAGAGAAAACAAGGCACAACTGGTATTATGTATTGAGCTTAAGACTTTCCTCTAGCGGTACCTAGAATGGGCTGAGCTTGCTTCTCTAGAACAATAGCTCGCCTGGATCCAGGAACTAACCGATAGATAAGCAGTGTAATGTAAATAGCCTATCACTGGGAGTGGGGGGGTGTTGGGTGCGGTGTTTTGCATGCATAGAAGCAGGGCTCCAGCCCTGCTACCTTGGTCTTGTGTTCTGCTGAGATCACTGAATAAACTAGAGCTGATCACTGCAATGCGTCTAGAACCCAGTATTTAACAACAGGAATCCGATAGACTTGACTTTATAATTTTTCTTTTTAAAAACCCTCTTAAATCATCAACTAAGATAAACCCTTTAATGCAGGAGTCCCCAGCATGGTGCCTGGTGGTGCCATGGTGCCCACCAATACCTTCTCTGGTGCCTGCCGAGTGTTCTTAGGAAGTAGGTGGGGCCAGGTAGGGCTTTTGTCCAGCAAAGGTTCTGATTGGCTGTGCAGATTAAAAAAAAAAAGTTGCTTCCACCACAGCACAAGGTTCTACACACTATGTGACTGAAGGTAAGCTGTGGCAGCCATTTTGTTGCTGCACCCACCATGCTGTGTCAGAATTCCAAATGTGCCCGCAGGCTCAAAAAAATTGGGGACCCCTGCTTAAAAGCACCTCTCAAATCAGCAACTCCCTTTCTCTCTCTGTGTTGCAAATGTTTTGATCTGTACTTGCAGCTGAATGAGCCAAGGCCAAGGTGGGAGAGTCCTGGAGTGCTGGTTAAAATGGACCGTAACCAGTGTACCCTCTAAGCTGTGTTCATGTGAGCTAGCTGATGGTTTTTTAGCCTCCAGCTCACACAAGGATGGCTCCAGAGCAAACTAATTCACGCAGCAGCCAAATCACTCGCTCACAACTTGAATGCCAGTAGCTCACAAAGCAGAATTTTTGCTCACAGGACTCCACCGCTTAGAGGGAGCATTGACCGTAACTTATTCAGGCTGCAGGTGTGGGAATTGCCTTTCCCAAAAATGCTTTTCTTATGGCAAGAAAAAAAATATTATCTGAGAACAGAAAACTGGAACAGCGGGGAACAAAGCTTGCTTAGCGCCTCTCCCCGAAATTTTAAGAGCCAGTTGTTTTAAGTCCTAGGGAAAGTGGAGTACTACTACTTGAGCCAGAGTGGTATACAGTGGTTAGAGTTCCAGACTAGGATCGGGGAGACCCAGGTTTGAATCCCCACTTGTGGCATGGAAGCTCGCCAGTCACACACTTGGCCTAACCTACCTCACAGGGTTGTTGTGAAGATGAAATGGAGGGGAGGAAAATGATGGGAGTCACTTTGGGTCCCCATTGGGGGAGAGTGTGGGTATAAATGAAGTAAAATAAGTACAATTGGAGAAACACCATTCCAAAAACCCCTTGAGCTGGGCAATCCTCTAAATGTTTTCTATTAATTAATTATCGTATGGCATTGTGTGTATACAGGAGATCCTAAGATTGTCTGGCAGCCAGAAGTTCTAGCTCTTTAGTATTATGCACCACTAGGAGGTGTATCAATAGGTGGCGAGCTAGACTTGTTTTTAAGGCAAGAGAGGTTTCAGAGGTGGTTTGCGTCACGACCCTGGTATTCCTTGGAGGTCACCCGTCCAAATACTATCCAAGGCTGACCCTGCTTAGCTTCCAAGAAGTGACGGAATCAGGCTAGCCTGGCCTATCCAGGTCAGGGCAATGTTTTCTATGATCAGAAGAAAACCTGATCATAGAAGGAAAATCTATGCACCTTAAAGCCAATATATGCAAATGCATGTACAAAAGTCATTCGTTTCCTTAATGGGTTTAGAGGACCAGAAAGGTTGGACACGCTATACTGGGTTGATGCCAGCAAACTGCAGATATAAGGACTGCAGATTTTTCCTGCGTTCCCCCTCTGCCAGCTTCTTTACGACCCAGGGTGGTGGGTTGAAGGGCAGTGTGGGTTGGGAAACTGCCGTGGAGAGAAGAAAGGGAGCAAAGTATCTTCTCTGCCCTCTTCCATCCACAGGGATGCGCTGAGGGACATAGCACAAAGAGCAGTTTTTCACCCACTTCCCTTTCATATCCCCACCGGATATTACCTCATGCAGGTTCTGTAACCGCATAAACAAACCTTCCCGATGTTGGAAACGAGTGCTGGGGGTGGGTGGGTGAGGTTTTGCTGGAAACATCTGCAACTATTAGTGTCTTCCACTGACAGATCACTAGACCCAATGGGGTTGCCAGCTCCAGGACTGCAGATTTTAACTATAAATCACTATTTAGGACAGAGGCCCCCCATTTTTTTGAACCTGTAGGCACCTTTGGAATTCTGACACAGGGCGGTGGGTACAATCACAAAATGGCTGCCGTGGCAACTTAAGCCAGTCACAAAATGGCTGCCACAAGAGGTTGAACCAATCACAAAATATCAGGGAGCGAAGATATGCACGATCTCATCAGAAGCTAAGCAGGGTTGGCCCTGGCAAGTATTTGGATGGGAGACCTCCAAGAAATACCAGGGGCGTGTGGCAGAGGCAGGCAACGGCAAACCAGCTCTGAACGTCTGTTGCCTTGTGAACCCTATGGGGTCGCCATAAGTCAGCCGTGACTAGATGGCACTTTCCACCACTACCACGGTTATGCGTAACTCTAACAGTAACTCTCCAACATTTCGGGCAGAATCTCGTAACTCTCCAACATTTCAGGCAGAATCTCTGTTTAACAGGATGCCTTTTAATTGGCACAGCCAATCAGAAGCCCGGCTGGGCAAAAGCCCTACCTAGGCCCACCCACTTTCTAAAAGTATTTGGCAGGCACCAGGAAAGGTGTTGGTGGGCACCAGAGCACCATGGCTTTGGAAAGCTGTGCTTTAGAATAGGCCTGAGACACAGTAGGCCTGAGAATTTGAGTCTAGGTTCCTTGTAAATCTGTTAATGTTTTGTTGTTGGGTTTTTTCTTTTACTGTTCTAGCTAACTTAGGACTTTCAGTTCTGAAAAGAATAACTTAAGAATAAATGGCTTTATGCCCAGAAGAAACTCAAGACCAAATGGAACAAAGTTTTTTTTGAACCTGTAGGCACCTTTGGAATTCTGACACAGGGCGGTGGGTACAATCACAAAATGGCTGCCGTGGCAACTTAAGCCAGTCACAAAATGGCTGCCACAAGAGGTTGAACCAATCACAAAATATCAGGGAGCGAAGATATGCACGATCTCATCAGAAGCTAAGCAGGGTTGGCCCTGGCAAGTATTTGGATGGGAGACCTCCAAGAAATACCAGGGGCGTGTGGCAGAGGCAGGCAACGGCAAACCAGCTCTGAACGTCTGTTGCCTTGTGAACCCTATGGGGTCGCCATAAGTCAGCCGTGACTAGATGGCACTTTCCACCACTACCACGGTTATGCGTAACTCTAACAGTAACTCTCCAACATTTCAGGCAGAATCTCTGTTTAACAGGATGCCTTTTAATTGGCACAGCCAATCAGAAGCCCGGCTGGGCAAAAGCCCTACCTAGGCCCACCCACTTTCTAAAAGTATTTTCCAGGCACCAGGAAAGGTGTTGGTGGGCACCAGAGCACCATGGCTTTGGAAAGCTGTGCTTTAGAATAGGCCTGAGACACAGTAGGCCTGAGAATTTGAGTCTAGGTTCCTTGTAAATCTGTTAATGTTTTGTTGTTGGTTTTTGTTTTTCTTTTACTGTTCTAGCTAATTTAGGACTTTCAGTTCTGAGAAGAATAACTTAAGAACAAATGGCTTTATGCCCAGAAGAAACCCAAGACCAAATGGAACAAAGTTTGCAATGATTATTCATTGGGATGCTCAGAGGTGCCTTACATCATGCCTTCAGAGAGCACTGAGCCATATGTCAGCGAGTCGTGTGTTGGCCTGAGCCAGGGTTGCCACCCTCCAGGTGGCACCTGGAGCTGTCTCCCTAACACAATTGATTTCCAAATGACAGGTTAGTTTACCTGGAGAAAATGGCTGCTTTGGAGGGTGGGCTCTATGGCATTATACCGTGCTGAGGTCCCTCCCCTCTCCAAATCCCGACCTCTCCAGGCTCCACCCCCCAAAATCTCCAGGTGTTTTCCAACCCAGATCTGGCGACCATAGCGTAAGCAATAGCTTCTGTATAAACTGGCCACATCCCGTAACCTCTAAATCTCTCATATCTGAAGGTCAGTGAAATCTGCTTTCCCCTTTTTTTGCAAGGTAAGAAACTTTTACCCTTGCTTCTTAAAGTCAACTTCAATAGAACAGAAATGACATGTATGCTCATTAAGGGGTGTGCCGGTGTTCTGTGCATCTATTTTGTTTGATCAGATCCAGTGAGATCACATTATTTTTAAACAAAAGCCTTAATTAGTATATTGACTATTGGCTGAGAAATACCAAGTTTCACTTTGAACCAGGAACACATAAAATAAACCTCAATGTCTTCCTCAGAGATTGAGGGCTGTGCCTTCCAAAGATTGAACGTTGTAAGGGAACACTCAGTTATCAAGCAGCACTGTGATTTATTGATTAATGTGTTGCTTTAGTTCAATCAAAGAGGTCTTAATCTTCATGTGGCAGTTTAAAGGAACGTCCCCTCACAAGTAGGTCCCAGCTAGGGCTGCCAAGTCCCCCCGGGGGGCGGAAATCCCCCCACCCCAGAGGCCCGTTCCCAGACGCCGGAGAATCGGGCCCCGGGGGGAACCCCGCCCCAGCGTGCACGTCACAGGGAAGTGACATCATGATGCCGGGCACGCTGGGGGCGGGACCACGGCCATACAAGGGAAAACTCTATGGTATGGAGCCACCCCAGAGTCCCCCGCCGGCAAGGTAAGTCGGACTTGGCAACCCTAGTCCCAGCCACTGCGACACCAGGTTGGAAGATTCCTGGAGATTTGGAGGTGAAACCCAAGGAAGTCAGAGTTTGGGGAAGGGAAGGACCTCAAAGGGGTATCATGCCAGAGAGTCCACCCCTAGGGATCCCAGCCTCAAGATGGGACCTGGAGACCCCCCAGAATAACCCTGACTGTTCCCTGGAAGGCCAGATAATGAAACTGAAGCTCAAATACTTTGGCCACCAAATGAGAAGAGAGCACTCACTGGAGGAGACCCTGATGCTGGGAAAGATTGAAGGTCAAAGAAGACGGGGACGGCAAAGGATGAGATGGTTAGACAGTGTCATCGATGCAACGAACATGAAATTGAGCCAACTTCAGAGGACGGCGGAAGACAGGAGAGCCTGGCGGGAGATGGTCCATGGGGTCGCAAAGAGTCGGACTCGACTGTGCGACTGAACAACAACAACTCCAGTGATCCCGTCTTCCCCAGGCTCCATTCTCAAAACTCCAGGAGTTCCCACCTGGATCTAGCAACCCAACCCCTCAATCCCCCACGGGCAGCCAGGGGGGACCTAGCAACCCTAGTCCACCCCCCAAAGCAGCCATTTTCTGCAGGGGAACTGGTCTGTGGAGCCTGGATATCAGTTGGAATTCTGGGAGATCTTTAGACCACATCTGGTGGTTGAAAACCCTAAACACACAGGCCTGTCTTTAGCATAAGTACAGCATTACTGTTGTTGATTAAGGCCCACTGTAACTGTTTCTTGGAGACTTGTAATACGGAAAATGTGAGCATACACAGGTACAATGACCAGCTTCTGAACTTAGAATACTACCGTTTTGAAGCAGAAATTCCATCGCATTCAGGAGGCCCCTCCGCGCAGTCACGAATAAGGCCACAAAACTTCGGTGCGCTAACCACGCTACCCTTTCTTCCGGATTCAGCAGGTCTGAATGTGCCGTGCAAAACAAGGAGGTCTTTGTTGCTCCTAAACCATGCAGCTGGCAAAGGAAGGCACAAAACGTTACCCCAAGGATTGACTCGTTATTTATATAGACTCACAGGGAAAAACTATTACGTGCTTCGAGTTCCACGTGGTTGGCAAAGGAGTAAAATAGTGGCCAGCATTTTCCCTGTTTACTCAAGGATCTCCACTGCATTCCACTTGCCCCGGAGACTCCTCTGCCAGAATTGTAAAGAAACAGTGCTGTGTGAGAGGTGACTTATTTGAGGGGAAGGGCAATGCAGAAATAAAACCAATTTGGTTAAAATGTTGATGTTCTTCCCACACCTGCACACGGGAAAGACAAGCCAAGCATGTGCACTACAGTACAGCAGCCGCTGTAGGTTTGACAGTTTCAAGGAGAGTTATTACTATGGGGGGGGGCACATTCTGGAAGAGAAATTAGTGGACCATGACCGGGGGGGGGGGGCCCAAGCCCCAAGTGGGGACGGGG